CGGCTTGAAGTAGTAGCCCTTGAGCACCCTTGGTTGTGACCCCAAAACCACAAGAAAAAAGGAAGATCACTGGCAGAGCTACAGGAGATCCCTGATGAGGGTTTGGGGTGTGGTTCGATGATTTCCACATATGTGAAGTTCAGTATGAGGCGCCATGATCAAACCAGCGAACAACAGCAAAGCACTTGTCAAGAGTTTTGTTGGAACTGAATTGAATTTCTAGATTATTCTGGGGGAAATGGTCATCCTTGGGTCTTCCCAACACAAGCATGGTGTAGTTCTCCTCTTTTTTTTTTTTGTAGATCCTTAAAATTCAAAACATTTAATATACATTAAAAGATTTACTGTTCTTTTTTTCTTTTTGGGTCACACCCGGCAATGCACAGGGGTTACTACTCCTGGCTCTGCGCTCAGGAATTACCCCTGACGGTGCTCAGGGGACCATATGGGATGCTGGGAATCGAACCCGGGTCAGCCGCGTGCAAGGCAAACGTCCTACCCGCTGTGCTATCGCGCCAGCCCCTATACTGTTATTGTAGTCAAGAACTGAATTGTCACACTGGTGGTGGAATTGGTGTTAGAACATTTAATGCCTAAAACAACTGTATTATGAACAACTTGTTACATCATAGTGTTGTAATAATTTTTTTTAGTAAAATAATTGAACTTTTTGGGCTGGAGAGAATAGGGGTGAATGCGGCCTTGCACGTGACTGATTTTTTTTTTTTAATGTAGGAGTACTGCTATTTATTCAGCCACTGATTAGCTGATTGAATTGTGCATGAACTCCACCTTATTTTTTTCATTTTTTATAATTTTATTTATTGAATCACCATGAGAGCAGTTACAAAGCTTTCGGGTCTAAGTCTCAGTCATACAGTGAAACACCCGTACCTTCACCAGTGCCCATTCTCCACCACCAAAAACCCCAGTATAACCCCACCCCACACCCTCCCCCTACCTGTGGGGCAGATGATTTCCACATTTTACTCTCTCTACTTTGATCATATTCAATATTTCGACACCAGACCCACCATTATTAATTGAGATTTTACCACAACACTCAGATCTGCCGAAAAGGCAACAGTAGACAATTTGTGTTCTATTGCTGGTTATGAATAACCTATGATGTCGCGTGGCTGCAGTAGGGCCATGTGATTTTGAAATTCCGAAATTTTAACACTTAAATCTGGAGGGTTTTCTGCCAAAAGCCACTGTGTTTTGAGATTTGCTCCTGAGTCTCTGGGATCATGGCCGTTGAGCAGCTTGATCAGGAGCCAGAGAGGCCGTTCGTGGGCGATGACTTGGGGTCTCGTTGGGGTAAGGAGGACAGGCCCGGCTCCACCCCCATCCCGTGAGGCCCAACAAGTTTCGACACATGACTGATTCTGATTCAATCTCCAGCACTGCCTATGGTCCCCTGAGCACTGCCAGGCGAAACCCCTGAGCACAGAATCAGGAGTAAGCACTGAGCACCATGGGCTATGGGCCCCACAGCCCACTGAAAATAAGTATAGAACCTTTTGGGGGCTGGGGAGATGGCTCAAAGGGCTAGCACACATATTGCTGTGAGGTAAAAATCGAGTCGAATTCTAAATTTGTGTGGAATATCTGTTTGTTCCTGTTATATCTTTAAAAAAAATTTTTTTTGGTTTTAAACCACATCCGGTGGGTTTATTCCTGAATCACTCCTGCTAGGGCTCGGGGGACCATATGGGGTGCCAGGGATGGAACCCAGGTTAGCCGCGTGCAAGGCAAGCGCCTTATCGGCCCCAGCAAGGTAGATTTTTTTTTTTTTTTTGCTTTTTGGGTCATGCCTAGCAATACTCAGGGGTTACTCATGGCTCTGCACTCAGGAATCACTCCTGGCGGTGCTGGGGAACCATATGGGATGCCGGGAATCGAACCCGGGACGGCCACATGCAAGGCAAATGTCCTACCCGCTGTACTATCGTTTTGACCCCCCAGCAAGGTAGATTTTACTAAAGCTTACTTAGAAAAGATGTGAGGGGAGAGAAAGGGAGAAGTGTGTTCAATAGAGAAAAAGACTTTTCCGGAACAGGAATAGGGAGACAAAGAAACAGTCATCAGGCAAGTGAGACGCGTGTCCAAGGGACAACATGGGCTTGAAGAGCTTCTTTTTTTGCTTCTTGATCTGACATCCAAAACAATGCTGATGGAAATTGGTTCCAGTGGACACTTCCTGTGTTCCTGCCTGACCCTGAGACCCCCCTGGACCCGGGCTTCCCTGGTCAGGAGTGTTCTGGGGGGCTGGATGCTCGGGTCACTCCTCTTCTCCCTCCCCCTCACGCAGAGACCCTGGACAACTCCCTCCCTACTCATCTCTCTGGAAGAGGGAAATCATTGTGTACCCCATCCTCAGTTTCTGTGAGGATCAAATGTCTCCAGGTGTATCCACATTCATGTTCATACCTGATACATACACTGTCAATAGGCCCAGCAGACGTGTGTGCTTGGCCAGTAGTGACCCACGTGGTCTGGTTCCACATTGTCGTTACTGATGCTGCAATGCTTGCGTGTTTGGTGCTTATCTTATATCAGGTTAAAGAAGCTTCCTTTTCTGGGCTGGAGAGAGAGAAATGCAGGAGGCCTGGGTTTGATCCGCAGAACCTCTGGGAGCACCTGCTGAGAGAAGCCCCTTAGCACAGCTCAGGGCAGCCCCCAAATCAACCAGCAAGATAAAAAAAAGGAAAAAAGTAAAGAAGTTTCCTTTTATTATTTTTTCCCTGGAATTTTTTTAACTTTTTTTTTCTTTTGGGGTCACACACTCAAGGATGCTCAGGGGTTTCTCCTGGCTCTGCACTCAGGAATTACTCCTGACAGTGCTCAGGTGACCATATGGGATTCCGGGGATTGAACTCGGGTCCGCCGCATGCAAGGCAAACGCTGTACTATGGCTCCAGCCCATTTCCTTGAAATTTTTATTCTCAACCAGGTATGAGAATTATATGAATTAGTTTTTTTCCTACATTTTCGGAGACCTTTTCTTGTCATCTGTTTTCGTGGTGAAGGATACCAGTTTATCTTCCAAAGTTGCTCCGTTCTTTGAAGGTCCCAGGATTGATTCTTTCAGTCACATGCTTTACTGTTTGCGGCTAAATTCGGTTTTTACCTATTTAGAGCTTTTGCCAAGGAGATGTTCTGTGTGGAATTTCCCTTGCCAGCATCAGTGGGAGTTTGAACAAGATGGAAATTTGAAGCTGGTGGTTTCCATCCATTTCTCTGCTTTGGAACGGATTGTGTAACTTGGAGCTGGAGAGATCGTACAGAGAAAAGGCACTTTCCTTGCTCATGAATGACATTGATTTTAACCCCAGTACGTGGCCCTGAGCACATGCAGTGCCAAGAGCGATCCCTGAGCACAGAACCAGAAATAAGCCCTGAGCACAGTTAGGTGCAGGCCCCCCACCCAGTCCCAAATAAATAAATTAAGTAAATAACTAAATAATTATATTGGCATTGGATTTTTTGAAAGATAAGAAAATGCAGATAAGTGAAAGGAAGATAATAAAACATACGTGCAGATTCAAACATAATTAAAATTTGAATATGTCCTGTCCTGTCCTCCCGTTGTTCATTGATTTGCTCGAGTGGGCCCAGTAACGTCTCCATCTTGAGACTTGTTGTTACTGTGTTTGGCATATCGTCATGGGTAGCTTGCCAGGCTCTGCCATGCGGGCGAGATACTATCCTTCCAAATATTTTTCCGTTTAATAAACCATTTCTTTTTTTTTAATTTAAATATAAGAGTTCTGCTATTTATTCAGCCACTGATTACATTGATTGATAGTAACCATTTCTTAGTAATTCAGGAAATATGGGTTTTAAAAAAAATCTTTATTCAACTCTGTACTTGGGTAGACCATTGTATTGTTTTGTTCTTTGTGAAATATTTTCCAATTTGTAGCATTGCATTGTAGCACTGTCCTCCCGTTGTTTATCGATTTTCTCGAGCAGGCCCAGTAACGTCTCCATTGTGAGACTTGTTGTTACTGTGTTTGGCATATTGAATACATCACGGGTAGCTTGCCAGGCTTTTCCGTGAGGGCAAGATACTCTCAGGAGCTTGCCGGGCTCTCCGAGAGGGGCGGAGGAACTGAACCCGGCTTGGCTGGGCTGGCTGCATGCAAGGCAAATGCCCTACCACTGTGCTATCGCTCCAGCCCTTCTTCTAATTTGTAAAAAACTGAAAAGCTATGACAAATATTAGGCAGAAAAAAAAAAGACAATTTTCACGAACTCTTCCTCTCTTTTCCTCTTTGCCTCTATTTTTTTCCCCCTTGTTATGGAAAGAGGATGAAAGAGTGTGGAAAAAGGAGGGGGAATTTGGTAGAAAAATGAAATGACCTTCAGCAATGGAAGAAGCCAAACCTCCCCCAGTGAAGAGCTCTGGCTGTGTCCCCACCCACTTTGGGGGGAGGAGAGGAGACAGAAATCCTTGTGAACTTGCAATTTTTCCTAGCCAGGGATTGGGGGGGGAAGGGAGGAAAGATGAAGTGGAGGAGGAAGATGTCAAAACTGAAAGTGAGTTTTCTCTACTATAACTTGGTACTGGTAAGATCAAGGGGTGCAAATCAAGCCCTGAATGTCCCTAAGAGATTCTGAGCTCCAGACAATTGTGTTTTTTTTTGGGGGGGGGGTTGGTCCTCCACAACCAGTGGTGCTTGGGGGTATTCTTGGTTCTATGCTCAGGAGTGGTTCTCAGTGGTGCTCAGGGGACCATCCGGTGCCAGGGTTCAGCCCTAGACCTCCAACATGCAAAGTGAACAGTCGACCCCCAGAAACTCCTCCCCTGCTCTGACCTCCAGATAGCTGGAACAACACATTGGCATAGTCTCAAAGGCAGGTCAGCGACATCCCACTGCGGGGGGTGGGGGGGATGGGGTGGGAGTCTCCCCAAAGCTTGTGCCTTTATTCATGATGGTCATCTTCTTGAGCACGCTCTTGATAACCACGTGGGTTTGCTGGCTTCTTTGCAGTTCAAGTTGCCTTAGCTTTTGGCGCCAGGATATTAGGACATATCCGCAATTTATGCGAAGGTAAATTTGACTTCCTTGAACGCCTCCCCGACAGTTTGCTCCTGAGGATCTTCGCGTACCTGGATCTCGAAGACATCGCCCGGCTCTCGCAAACGTCACAAAGATTTTCGAAGGTACCACTTCTGTGTCGATGCAGAATTCCCGCGGGGCTCTCTTCAAGTCGCTGTTTATTTTCCCCCTTCCCATTCTGGGGTCACACCCGATGGTGCTAGGAGTTTACTCCTGCCTCTGCCTTTGGGCATCACTCCTGGCGGGATTCAGGGACCCTCTCTGGTGCCAGGGGTGGACCCCAGGTTGGCTGCATGCAAGGCAAGTGCCCGGCCTGCTGTACTCTCTCTCTCCGACCCCTGCTTTTGTGCTTTTGTTTTGATAAGTATCGCGTTGGTTTAGTATTTGCCTTTAACACAGCAAGCATTTGTTGAATTCTTGCTTTGTGATGGACATGGTCCCAATCCAGAAGCCACAGAGAGGAGATGTGATTCTTTTTTTTTTCTCCTTGTTTTTAAAATATTTTTTACTCTTTTTATTTTATTTATTAATTAATTTATTTTGAATACCCATCCCTCCACCAGTGACCATTTCCCACCACCACGGATCCCACCCCTCCCCCTCCCCCCTCATCCCACCCTGTCTCTGTGGCAGGGCATTCCCTTTTGTTCTCTCTCTCCTATCAGGTGTTGTGGTTTGTATAAGAGTTAAGCCTGATTTTCAGGGAGAAACATTGGATGATTTACTTTCCATTGATCACTTTGTATATAGGGAGATGTCAGTTTGGAGTAAACGTCCTGGTTCCCGCATACTCAAGCTATGCTTGTAGAGGTTCCTGGTCACCAGGGTTCCATCTGGAGGAGGCGGGATGCAGCACCTACCCCATCTGGGACTTCCCAGTGATCTCAGCTCTTTTGGGGACCTGGTGCATTCTCCGGGAGCTGTGGTGCCGCCCAGCGGCCTTTCTTCTCTGCGGCTGTGTGCTGTAAAGATGGAGCTGGGGGGCGGGTTGTGGGCATGACTTCCGGAGTCAGAGGTTACCTGGGAGCCGGGCAGTGCCGGCAGTTTGAAGTAAAAGTCCAAGTCCTGGTTCCCGCATACTCGGGCTATGCTTGTAGAGGCTCATGGTCACCGGGGTTCCAACTGGAGGAGGAGGTGGAGATGTGATTCTTGTCCTTGAGGCGCTTACTATAGCAGGAGACATGTACACAAAGAGAAATCACTGGACAACTCGGGGCCAGAGGGCTAGTGCCGCAAGTAGGTGCTAACCTTGCACGTGTTCAACCCAGGGTCAATCCCCGGGACCACACAGAGTCCCCAAACCCTGCCAGGGGTGATCCCTGACTGCAGATTTAGGAGTAAGCCAAAAAAAACACAGCAGCGAAGAAATCAGTGTGTCACTGAGCCTCGGAGCAGAGAGGTATGATGATGCGGTCAGATTAAAGCTGATTCCTCTGCCTGGCATCTCAGAAGCAGGTTACTTTTTCTGGGTTTTGAGAGGAAGAGGCCTGATACGTCACAGGAGAGTAGGGGGCAAAGTCCATTGATGAAAGAACAGCAGGTCAGAGAAAACGGCTTGGAAAGATCAGAACAGGTGCTTAGCATGCAAAAGCCGTGGGTTCAAGCCCCAGCACTGTCGGAAGTAAATCCCAAGTGGAGGGCAGCCCTTAACCATCTCCGAATGTGACCCAGAAACCAAAAAAAAAAAAAAAGGAAAAAATGCAATGTTTGCCTTTCAAGAAGATTCACTCCCTAATCGTTCCTTCCTCCCTTCCTCCTTCTTCCTTCCTCCCTTCCTCCCTCCTTTCTTTCTTCCTCCCTTCCTCCTTCCTTCCTTCCTTCCTTCTTTCTTTCTTGGTCACACCTGGTAATGCTCCTGGCTCTGAACTCAGGAATTACTCCTGGCAGTGCTCAGGGGAACCATTTGGAATGCTGGGGACAGAACCTGGGTCAGCTGTGTGCAAGGCAAACACCCTCCCTGCTGTACTATCGCTCTGGTCCCATGGCCTATCTTTCATTTAGAAAAGTCAGTGCTTTCCATGTGAATGTGGTCACCGTTTTTGGTTTTTAAGTATTCACTTCAGTGATACAATCTGCACTACTTCAGATATAAAAGAATATATAAGTATAAAAGAGTATAAAAGATAAACACTTTTACTTGATTTACTCCTACAAATGGAGAACAATAATACATAATTATGGAAATCACTCTTATCATTAAAATTAAAGAAAAAAATAAAGAAGGAGGGGCCAGAGAGATAGCCCAGTGGGTAGGGCCCTTTCTTGCACACAGCTCACCCAGGTTAGATCCCCAGCACCCCTTATGGTGCCCTGTGCGTGCCAGAGAGTAAGCCCCGAGCACACTGGGTGTGACCAAATACCAAAAATAAATGTAGAAGCGAAGGATTTTACTTACATATGGCAAAATGAGACTCTCTGGTTTTTCTTCTTTTTTTTTTTTCCCTTTTTCTTTTTGAAGTACGATAGTTTTTATGTAAAGACCTACCCTTAGAGAACTGTGAGGGGAGAGAAGGAGAGCAAAGCGTGTTCAAGAGAGGACGTGGGCTTGGAAAAGAGCTCCGGGGTTTCCTAACAGACTCCTGCTTTGTTGCTCACATCTGCGTCAGATCGAGAGCTTATATCTTTATATTTTGAAATTTCATTTCTTGTCTTCGCCTAAATACACCTGTGGATGATTTCTTCAGTACTAGGTCAGGCTGCTTCTCTTTTTGAAGAGATCTTATATTTTTTTTTGACATCTTATATTTGGAAGGCTTGCTACTCAAACGCTATTAGTACCCACACCATTGAAATTGATACTCTGAACTTTTTTCCTCTTCTCTTCAAGATACAGATGGCCCTTTATTACCTTCATTCCACCCACTCAACCTCACCTTAATGGGCCTCTTCTCACTTTTCACTGTTCTATTCCCAGCATCAGGAAGAGAGTTCCATGAGCAAGGCCCTTGTTTTTTTTTTTGTTGTTGTTGTTGTTGTTTTGTTTTGGTTTGGTTTTGATTTTTTGGTAGGTAAAGGGAAGTTTATTCTACTATAATTTCCACTTATATTTTATTTATCTTTTTTATTAGTGAAACGCCATGAGGTACAGTTATAGACTTGCAGATTTTTGTGCTTGGGTTCCAGTTATACAATGATCAAGTACCCATCCCTCCACCAGTGCCCATTCTCCACCACCACGGGTTCCAGTATCCCTCCCACCCCCTCACCCTCCCATACCACCCTGCCTCTGTGGCAGGGCATTCCCTTTTGTTCTCTATCTCTCTCCTTTTGGGTCCTGTGGTTTGCAAGAGAGGCATTGGGTGGCAGTCATGCTTGGTCTATAGTCTATTTTCAGCATGCTTCTCCCATCTTGGGAGGATCCTTCCAACACCCTTTATTTGGTGCTCCCTTCTCTATCTGAGCTTCCTTTTCCCCTAGCACATGTGGCTGGGCAAGGCCCTTGTTTTGCATGCTGCAGCCAAACCCGCATTCGAACCCCGGCACCCCATATGACCCCCTGAGTCCCACCAGAAGTGATCCCTGAGCACAGAGTCAGGAGTAAGCCCTGAGGACGGCTGGGTGTAGCTCGAAAACCAGACCAAAACAATCTCGGGGGCCCAGGGAGATGGTTCATGGGCTGGATGCTGAGTTTGGACTGTGGGTTCCATCGCTGGCCCCTCTGGGCCTCCGGAGCCCCGTGGGGGTCACTCTGATCACCCCCAGCACCACTGGGCAGGCTTCCTCTAGTTTCAACATTCTGCCCTTGCCGAGAAGCTCATCGTCAGACACTCACATGTCAATGACGCCGACAGGCGGGCTGCTGCTAGAAGTTTCTGCCAGCCGCTGGGTTCCATCCTGGACGCATGGTGAGGGGCTTCCTGGTAATTCAGGGCTCCTGGAGGCAGATGGTATTCATCCCTCATGTGGTCTGTTGGTTTGGGTTGCTGGTGGGGGAGCCTCTCCTTAAGTTGGGGGACCACTCCCAGGGGTGCTCAGGGGACCGTGTGGGTGGGGCGGGGGCCTCAGTCCTCTCCCTGAGCACGTGGCTTCTCCCCGGGTCACTCATGTCCACTCTGCTCCTCCCCGCCCAGGAGGCCGCTGGGATTCACAGTCTCAGTTCTGGGGACGACAAGAGTCGCCCAAGGTCACTCACTCGCTCCCTGCCACAGTGAGAAAACTTCTGTTTGTGTCCAAATGTCGTCTGTCCTCCCACGACCTCTGGCCTCCTCTCGGGCTGGAAGGTGTTCTTGTAGCCCCGTGCCGTCCTGCCCTTTATCTCACCGCTTCACGAAGCGTCTGTGTGAAACCCCGAGGGATGAATGTGCTAGCAAGTCATTTGTGTTCAAATCCTTGGACCTCCATCCCCCAAGCGTTAGGCCAGACCGCTACCACCTGCCTCCTGCCCCCTGGGGTCCACTCGTCTCATCTCTATTAAATTTATAGTTGTTTTGTTGGGCTCCCCCTGGGAGTGCTCACGGCTGACTCCTGACTCTGTGCTCAGGGGTCACGCCTTCAGGGGGTCAGGGACCCTACGTGGTGTTAGGGCCGGAACCCGGGGTGGCTGCTTGCAAGGCAAAAGCGCCTTCCCCCCTGTCCCACCTCCCAGGCCCTGTCACCGTTGTCTCGCTTCCTAACTGCTTGCCATTTCAGACTGACAGCCGCGTCAGCCCTTCCCCTGCCTCCCCTGCTGCCCAGACCCTCTGTGACCCGCACAGCCAACAGCACGAGGTGGCCACTACAGAAGCCACGGGCTGGCCTACATGGCAAGCTGGGATTCTGCACTGCCCTTGGTTCCTATTTTTTATTTATTTATTTATTTATTTATTGCTTTTTGGGTCACACTCGACGATGCTCCTGGCTCTGCACTCAGGAGTTACCCATGGTGGTGCTCAGGGGACCATATGGGATGCTGGGAATCGAACCTGGGTCCGCCGCGTGCAAGGCAAACGCCCTAGCCGCTGTGCTATCACTCCGGCCCCGGTTCCTATTTTTTAAAGTTTCCCACTGCTTCCATTCTCTCTCTCTCTCTCTCTCTCTCTCTCTCTCTCTCTCTCTCTCTCTCTCTCTCTCTCTCTCCTCTCTCTCTTTTCTCTTTCTCTCTCTCCATTAATTCTCTCAAATCGGC